GCGCCCCCCCCGGCCACAGACTCGATCGCGTAAGCGGCGGCGGCGGCGGCGGGCATGCCGACAGCGGCGAGGTCCGGGCGGCGGTTGATGGTGGACGAGATGGCCGACACGTCGACATCCCCGTCTTCTCCTCCCGCGGGGGACATAGGGTCGTCCATGCTCGCGCCGAAGGCAAGCGCCAGGTCGGAGGTAGGTACAAGGCTCGAGCCGGCATCGTTCAAACTGACATAGGTACGGAAGGAAAAGGGGCAAACGCCGGATGAACAGCGGAGTGAGATTCAGGCCGGGGGAGGGGGGGGGGCACAAAGGGAGCAGTGGGTGCGGTGTACACTGGCTGATTCCCACCCCGGACTCTCGGACGAAATCGAAACCATCCCCCAAGCCGGGACGGAAAGAAAAAGACGAGAAACGTGGTCTTCGCGCGCATGTGTGTGTGTGTGCGGGTGTCTCCATCGCTGGCATTTGTCGACAACAGAGTCTGGCGCTAGGTCATGGTTTACCGCAAGCGGCCGGCCGCATGCAGTAAACCACCACCCGGGAATAATACGTTTTCTTGGCGGCAAGCTGTGAACGCGTTGGACAAAACTGCTACGGACACCGAACAGCAGCAGCATGTGTCACCTCACCGCAGAACCCTACTGTACTGCTGTAGCGCGAAAGCTTCAAAAGCTTAAAAGACACCCCGTGCCCGATGTCCGCCTCTCTTACCCGCCGTCCGACACCCTGGAGGCGGCTACCATCTTCGCGGCGCTCATGTGAGCCTTCTGGATCTTCATGAGCCCGTTTATGTCTTTCTGCAGCGGTCGTGAGAAAGACATAACCAGACAGAGTAAGGGACAGACAGAGACAGGAACAGACAGAGACAGAACAGACAGAGACAGGAACAGACAGAGACACACAGAGGCAGGGACAGAGACGGGGAAGATGAACGAACGCAGCAGCAGCAGCAGCAGCAGCAGCAGCAGCAGCAGCAGGCCCGTGTGAAGACAGGATGGGGGCGTATCGTCATCGTGTTCTGTCTTTATCATAAGTGCGGCGGTTGTGTTTTATTTCGTCGTACTGCGGGCAAACCCAAACACACGAAAAAGCTAGCCAAGCCGTCAATCGAGAGACCTGTAGGCGTAGATCACCCCGTCCCACGGCCCCCCATTCCAAGAAACACAGAAAAACCAGACAAGACAGGATGGCTTCTCGACCAGCGAAATCATCCCAGTCAAACACAACACTCAAAACAACCTCCTCCGTCGTGAAAAAACAAGACACACGGGCCGGCGTTGGAAGACAGGCAGGCAGGGAGGCAGCAGACCTTGGGAGGCAGCGTGGAGACCTTGGCTGACCCGGCCTGCCTCAGGCCCGCTATCCTCTTGGCCTCCAGCGCCGAGGCGGCCGCCTGCCGCCTCGCCTCCGAGCTCCAGTGCAGAACGTTCGTGCTCTGCGGCATGATAACCTGGAGAGCGGTTTCACCACGGCAAATGGGGAGAGAGAGAGAGAGAGCGAGGGGAGATGACCGGGGGTGTACAGCTGTTTAGAAAAATTAGTACAGGTGAGAAGGCAGCACGAAAAATGAAGCACAGCGTGTCCGCTGATTGGTTCCAGGTGTGTTGTGACAGTCGGGAAAGCGGTCCTTAAACCAGGAGAAAACATGTTTTTGTTCGATTGAATATTCATTAAATCAGAGGCATCTCAACATGAGATGAACGTCTAATTTTTCTACTGTGTTGTCGTCCGATGATGATGATTCTTTGGGGTTGTGGCCCGAACTACCTCTCTCCCTCTCAACGAAGGGAGGAGGTGCTAACCGACCACCCTCGTCCCCCATCGTCCTATCACGTCTGCCGCCCGCTCGCCACGGGGGCAATTGAACTTGCCTGCATCCCGGGGCCGCTGTGAACCATGCAGAACGTAGGCTGCTCACCGGCAAAGCCGTACGTGGGAATCTCCAGACAGTCGTCCATCTGCGACAAGCACACGGGACAACAGAAAACCGCGAGAGCGGCGGCGGCGGCGGCGACAGTGGGGTTACGCACAAAGCTAAAAAGCAACGTTGCCGAGACCAAGAACAGGCAGCACTGCTGTGCACACAGAAAATTGGCCTGATTCGTGAGAAAAAACTTCCAGCGGCAGGAGTCTCTGTTAAGAGCCTCAGGCAACCAGGTGTGTATGTACCGTCGACACGAGAGCACCTGGGCAGCGGACAAAGCCACAACAACACAGCTAGCCTAGGACACCAGGGCCGCTTTTCACCCAGCGAAGACAAGAAGACGGCCAATGACAATCACACATACGCAGTACTTCGAAGCGTTGCAATCCCGGTGTGTCTTCGTCCCCTCTCTCTTTTCCATCACACAAACCTTCGGGGAAGCTCGTGGTTTATTGTGGCTGCACAGCCTACGAGGTTGTCGCGCCACCGATCAGCGCGCGTCCGTGTGCTCCGAAAAATTGACCAACAACAAAAAAAAGCAACAACGACGACAACTCACGCTGCACTGCGGGTTGAGGACGTCCACCATCCCCTCCAGAGCGTGCACGGCGCAATACACGGCCATCTCGTTGGGGTAGGCGAAGCGGCACGCGCGGTTGCAAGTGACCGCCCTCCTGCTCTTCTTCTTGTTGGGAGGCGCCCCCTTGCCGTTGCGGGTGCCGCGGCCGCGGCCTTTGCCGCTGGTGTCCTCCTCCTCCTCCTCCTCGTCCGGCTTGGGCTCTCCCCTGTGCTTGCAGCGGAACGCGCGGGTCTTCACCAGCACACACGCACGCAGGATAAAGATATTGAGGGAAAAGAGAGAGCA